GCTCTAAGTCCTCATCTGATGCCCTGCCAGCACTGCTTCCGGCCATCCTTAACCCCGGTTCAGGGTCCACTCTGTGTGGACATGCTAGTTCGAATTAGCAAAACACTAATTCGAACTAGTTTTTTAGTCTGGATGCGTTAGTTCGAATTAGCTTAGTTCGAATTAGCGCTGTAGTGTAGACATACCCTAATATAGTAGCAAATGTCTTTAAAGTCTTATTTAGTTTGCTGATTAAATTGATATTATTAAAAAGGGCAAGAAAGTTTTAAATACTGTAGATGTTGTGCCAAAATCCCTTGACATGGGATTATTACTTATTTAATCAGCAGTTGTCCATGATCTCTGTCCGAAAAAACTCCTAATATAATGTAGAGATTATTTGAAAGAAAGTACTTCACAATAGCAACACAATGGTCTAATTTTCAGAGGTGCTGACCAGACAACTCTGTGAAAGACATGGGATTAAGAGAAGATCTGGTGGAGTGATATGACTGTGGAGCAGGGCACAACCAGAATTTTCAAAACTCCCCACATCTAGTCTCTAGTATTCCCCTTATTGCTCCTAGTCCTGAGCTCTCGCACACTGCCTCTACACAGCCACATGCGCCTCCCCCCAACACACATACACACACAGCCCCACACCGGGCTCCGAGCTTTCTTCCCTCCACAGAGCACTTACCCAGGGAGCTATTCAGACAGAAGAGCATCATCCCCACCAGGGGCCAGGCATCCCAGACCTCATTTTCCTTCTGCATCTCTGCTCCCTCAGGAAATACCAAAAGTCCAGATCCAATAGCCGGGATTGGGTGTTCTGGTGTCCCCTGCTCCACTTCTCCCTAAGGCTACGTCTACACTGCAGGCTTTTTGTGCAAAAATTTGCGGAGCGTCTACACTACATTTGTGCTCTTGCGCAAGTAAAAGAGGGCTTCTTGTGCAAGAGTTATTCTTCTCCCCATGAGGAATAAGCCCTCTTGTGCAAGAAGGCAGTGTGGACAGGCAACAGGTGTTTCTTGCGCAAGAAGCCCCTATCGCTAAAATGGCCATCAGAGCTTTCTTGTGCAAGAGAGCGTCCACACTGCCATGGATGCTCTTGCGCAAAAGCACCTCTTGTGTGCAAAAGCACATGGCAGTGTGGATGCGCTCTTGCGCAAGTACTTTTGCACAAGAAGCCTGTAGTGTAGACATAGCCTAGGGGTTGGGGGTGCCCATGGACACTGGAAGGACTGTAAAGGTGGAGGAGCCAAGCAGGTGCACAAGACTGTAGTATCCTTCTCACATTTGGGCTGCCTTTCCATCAGGGTGGGGTGGCTGGTTCAAATTTCCAGCTCTGGTCAGGGGATAAGGCAGGTTTTTGGACTCCCTTTCCTCCAGTTATGCCCCTGCTTTATAGAAGGAAGGGAGGGTGCATGGGCAACCAGTAGGCTGTTCCAAGCTTTCAAGGTGGCATGAAGGGTCTGGAGTGAAGCCCTGAGTGTGGGGAGGAGACCAAAGGAGCAATTAGAAGAGAGAGGCTCGGAATGAACATAAGGCACAGGCAGGAGGTTGGGTATGAAAGGAAGAGATGAGGATCCAGAGGCTCCACAGGGACTTTGCTATTGATTTTATGAGTAAGGTAGTACAGGGATAGTGTCAGAGGTATGAAAACATTAAGCGAGAGAGAGGAAGCCAAGTCCTGTATCACTTGGAGCATTGACTGGAGAGGACGCTATTAGCTAAGAAGGGAGGAGGATCTGTGGGCTCCTCTGTTTTGAGATGACTGTGTTTTGAGATGACTGTGCCTTTTGAATCACTAGTGAACGATGCCTCACAGAACCTTCCCCATTGTTTTTTCTGATTGAATGCCTTTATATGTTGGAAAATATTTTCTGTTAGGATCACAGGAATCAAGACACTGAAAAGACCTTGTCTTGCTCTTTTCGTGGGATGAACTCTGCTTTACTAAGTCCCCTGGAGAGAGGATGTATCAGATAGTAAATTGATGCTGTCATTGAGTCTGTATTTCCACATATAATATCCATTTTTAATCTACACTTTGCTAATGAACACATTATTTTTCTTCCAAAATAATTGCACCCTTATCAGCAAAGATTTAATAGCTGATTTGACACTGTAGCGAGGTGTCATTACTAAGCCTTTATTACCCCCACCAAGAATACTATGCAACATTTATTAGCAATGAATATAAAATGACATGTATCAAGAAATGAACAAATGTAATATCCTTACTTTTGTCATTGTCTTTTTCTCTTGCTAACTCACAAAATCTAATAATTCTCAAGTGATTAGTGTGAATTAGCAAGGTTCTACTCTTCTTTATTTTAAGATAGAAATCTATACAAAGCCTTGTAGCTGTGTATAGGGCACTATATTTATTGTACTTTGCCTGCAAAGAATGGGGAAAGTAATTCCTGGTCCCCAAAGGCACAGAAATAATTTTTCCTGCATAAAAGCATTTTTGCTATTTTCCACTTTTTTGTGATGTCTCCATTTATTTGTTTTAAAGTGATGCTAAGTGTACATAATCAGAAATAATGGAAAAGCAGCAAACAGTACATACTTCCATGATGATATAATTGTAACAAAAATTGATCTTAAATATATTTAAAATAAACATATTTTCTGAGGTGTAGCACCATTCAGTTAGTGAGAAGCAATTGGGCAATTCCCACGGAACCAGGTTGAAAGCAAGAATAAAAGTACGACTACTCTGTGTCAGATCAGTGGTCCATCTAGCTCTGTTCGTTGTCTCTCACCAATAGCCTGTGCTGCTAATCAGAACAGGACAGTTATCGAGTGATGCACCCCCTTGTCGGCCACTCCCAGCTTCTGGAAATTAGAGGCCTAGGATATGCAGAGCATGGGGTTGAGTCTCTGACCATGTTAGCTAGTAGCCATTGATGGATCTCCTCTGTGAACTTATCTAATTATTTTTTCATTTTTTTGGCCTTCTCAACCTCCTCTGGTAGCAGCTTCCATGGATTGTGTGGTTTGTAAAGCAGTGCTTCTTTTTGTTTGTTTTAAACCTGCTGCCTATTAATTTCACTAGAAATGGTTCTTGTGTTATGTGAAGGGGTAAATAACACTTCCTTATTCACTTTCTCCACATCATTCATGATTTTATACATCCTTCCTTAGTTGTCTCTTTGCCAAGCTGAACATTCCCAGTCTTTTTAATCTCTCATATTAAAGGTGTTCCATCCTCTTAATTATTTTTGTTGCCACTCTCTGTATCCTTTCTAATTCTAAGATATATTTTTAGATGGAGTGACCAGAACTAAACACAGTTTCCAGGGACGGAACTGCCATGGATTTATGTGGTGGCATTATGATCTTTTTGGTCTTATTATCAATCCCTTTTCTAAAGGTTCCTGAAATCATGTTAGCTTTTTGGACTGCCGCTGCACATAGAGCAGATATTTTCAGAGAACTATCCACCATGATTCCAAGATCACTTTCTTGAGTGGTAGCACCTAATTTAGACCTCATCATTTTGTATGCATGGTTGGGATTGTTTTCCACTTGTTACACTGGGTTTTCAGAACCTGCTGCTGTGGTTAACTTAACTGTTTCACTCCAGGCAGTATCAGGAATAAATCAATGCAAATACAGCTCTCCAGCAGATGAAAGATTAAAACAAGTAAGCACTGTTATCCAAAAATACAGTGTATTACATTGAAGCACACCGCTGATGCATGTGATGGGTTTAGAACATCCCAAATATTTATCTAAATTCTGGGACGGTATTGAGTAACTGACAGTAGGTCTGCAGTGCCATTTGCTTACTTGCCAGGGAAAAAAGGTGTCAGGGGAAAAAAGACACTCTGCAGGTAGCTTCAGTGGACTGCTCCAAAGCACACTGTTATTTTTATAACTAACTTTTATAAAACACAAAAATCATAGTGATCCCTACTGAATCATCACTTTTCCTACCTTTCAATAGACTGTTTATCAACAAAAACTCTTAGTCATTATAACTTCTATATCAAAGGCATCCAAATTCAAGGTTCTCATCCACTTACCCTCTTTCTGTCTCAGTTGTTGACTTTTTCTTTTCCCTTCTCCCATTCAGATTATCAGAAACTTTAGGTAGTTTTGACCTTGTTTTGTAATCTCCAAATTAACCCTTACCTATTTTATTAATTCAGGGTGACTGAACGATTGCAGTTGACTTAATCACATTTCGGGGGTACATGTAACCCTTAAATCCAGGATAACACACAATACTTTACTTTGCCTTTCTCAACATTTAATTTCATCTGCCAGTTTGTTGCTCATTAACCTAGGCTATGTCTAAACTACATTCCTCTTTCGAAAGAGGAATGTAAATGAGGCCTATCAAAAATTCAAATTAAGTGCAGATTTACAAATCTCGTGCTTCATTTGCATAATCGCGTGAGAGCACTTTTTCAAAAAAGGGTTTTTCGAAAAAGAAACCACAGTCTAGACGAGGTTCTTTTAAAAAAAAACACCCTTTTTCAAAAGAACCCGTACTCCTTTTTTCCCCCCGTAAAAGCACTCTCACGCGATTATGGAAATGAAGCCTGAGATTTGTAAATCTGCGCTTCATTTGAATTTGCGATCAGCTTCATTTACATTCCTCTTTCGAAAGAGGAATGTAGTTTAAATGTTCCGCCTGTGTAGTGAAATCCCTTTGTAAAACTTCTCATTCTACTTTTGGAGCGAGATGAAGGGGGATGTTACTAAATTGTTTACCTGCCCTAGTTACGCTGGATGCCTGGCTGTATTAGTACTTTGCAGAATGGAGAGGGATGGCTCTGTTATTATATTTGAACTATCACAGTTGGAGCTAGTTTGCTGTATTTTCCTTTTGCCTCCATCTTCTCTATCTTTTGTCTTTCCCTCCCTCTCATACGCTCTGAATGACAATAACCAACCCTTAGCTATTCCCTTTGGAAGTGAGACAGGATTGGATGCCTGGCTGTATTAGTACTTTGCAGAATGGAGAGGGATGGCTCTGTTATTATATTTGAACTATCACAGTTGGAGCTAGTTTGCTGTATTTTCCTTTTGCCTCCATCTTCTCTATCTTTTGTCTTTCCCTCCCTCTCATACGCTCTGAATGACAATAACCAACCCTTAGCTATTCCCTTTGGAAGTGAGACAGGATATTT